GGTGAGATGATATCTCATAGTTGTTTTGATTTGCATCTCTCTTAGAGCTAGGGATTTTGAACATGTCTTCATGTGCTTGTTGGCCATCTGAATGTCTTCTACGGAGAAGTGTCTGTACATATCCTGTGCCCATTTTTCTTTTTTTTTTTTTTGTAACTGTGCCCATTTTTCAATTGGATTGTTTATCTTGTGGTGCTCAAGTATTTTATAAATTCTAGACATAAGTCCCTTATCTGACATGTCATTACCAAATACTTTATCCCACACTGTGGCTTTCCTTTTTACCCTGTTGGAGAAGTTTCTGGATGTACATAGGGATTTGAATCTTAGAAGGTCCCATTCACCTATTTTATCTTCTCCTGGTTATAAATAACATAATAATTTTTACTTAGAATAGATACACTCAGATACTGGCACAATGTCCTCCATGATGGAACCCAAACATGAAAGAAAAAGCCAAGTGGAAGCCATTAGCACTCACTCTAGCTAGAAAAATAGTAAACACAAAGCAACATCACATTCCTGGAAATATTTCAACATTAGTGCCACCATCACAGACTTGAAGGATGGCATCTCCTACAACACACTCATTCAACTTGTCATCTGGCCTCTGTAGAGAATAAACAGAGTTTGGCAAATGCTGATAAATTTTCATAAGCTTGATCAGATGGTGACTCCAATTGCAGCTACTTTTACACTTTCACTGCTTGAGCAAATTAATAAAATTTCTGGTAGTTGGTATTTGTATACAGATTATCTGTATACAAATTAAGGAAGATTAGGAAACAGAATTGTCCATCCACTTCTTCAATAACAGGCTGCTGAAAAACCTATGAACAGTAGAGGAACACAGATAGTTGCAGTATTCGAGGTAGAGCCCAGACTGGAAGTCAATTGAAATGAGAAAAAAATAGTGGCAACCATCCTTTTAATAAGTGAAATATGGAATGTACAAAGCACTAATGCTGGAACACTAGAAGTTGTGAAAAATGAAATGGAACACATAAACACAGACATTCTAGGCATTAGTGAGATGGGGGACTAACATTCAGCCACTCTGAATCAGACAATCATGGTATACTATGCTGGGAGTGAAAAACAGAAGAATGCTTCGCATTCATCGGAAAGAAGTCAATTTAAAGTTCTATCCTGACGTACAACATTGTGAGTGAGAAGATATTATCATGGACAAGGAAGACATGTTTTTTTTTGTTTGGTTTTTTATTAGTGAACTTTTTTATTGTTTTTTTTTGTTAAGGAAGACATGTTAATATGGCTATTATTCAAACACATGCTTCAATGCTCCAGCCAAAGAGGAAATTGAAAATTTTTAGACAATCTTGCACTCTGAAATTGACCAAATATGCAATCAAGACCCATTAATGATAACTGGTGAATGGAATGTAAAAGTAGGAAACAATGAAGAAAGGAATAGTGGTTGGTGACAGAAATGAGGTTGGAAATAAAATGATCAAATTTTATATTCAATGATGGATTCATTGCAAATACCTTTTTTAAAAACACAAAGAGTGACTTTATACGTGGACCTCACCTGATGGTCTGCTTAGGAATCAGACGGACTAATCTGTGGAAGGAATCTTTGGAGAAACTGAATACCAGCAGTCACAACTAGGTCAGGGGTGGTAGGCAAGCCCATCATTTATTCATGTGCAAGTTCAAATCGATGCTGAAGAAAATTTTAAAAAGTCCTTGAGACCCTTATGATCTTGAATCTACCCCACCTGAATTTCAAAATCATCTTAAGTAAGCAGAGATCTGGAGCATTGAACATCAATGATCGAACACCAGATAGGTTGCAGGATGACATCAAGAATACCATCTTTGAAGAAAACAAAAGGTAATTACAAGGACAGAAGAGACTCTGAACACTGTATTAGAGCATTGAGAAGCTAAAACAAAATATTGTAATTGATTGTGCAGAGAGCTGGAATTGGAGAATAAAAAAGGAAGAACTCAATCTGCATTTCTTAAGCTGAGAAAACTGTAAAAAACAAACTTAAGCCTAGAGTTGTAATATTCAAAGATCTTATGAGCAGTATACTGAACGACCCAGAAAACATCAAAAGAAGAAGGGAAAATACACAGAGTTTCTAAACCAAAAAGAACTGACACTGGAAAATTTCAGAAAGTACCATTATGAGCAGGAGCCAATGGTAATGAAGGAAGAAGCTGAAGTGGCATTAAAGGCATTGGTAAAAAAAAGCCCCAGGAATTGATGGGCTATTAACTGACCTGTTTCTTCAGTTAACAGATGCAGCCCTGGATGCATTTACTAGTCTATGCCAGGAAATTAGGAGAACAGTTGTCTAGTCAACAGATAGGAAGAGATTTGTTTCCATTCCCAAGAAAGGTGATCCAACAGAATGTAGGAACTATTTAACAATATCATTAATATCACTTACAAGCAAAATGCTGGTGAAGATCATTTAAAAATGGCTAGAACGGTACATGGATAGGGGATTGCCAGTTTGAGCAGGATTTAGAAGGGACTGTGGCACCAGTGATAGATAGATAGATAGATAGATAGATAGATAGATAGATAGATAGATAGATAGATAGATAGATAATCATTACTGACTTCAGATGGATCCTGGTTGAAAGTAAAGAACACCAGAAATATGTCTATTTGTGCTTTCTTGACTAGGCAAAGGCATCTGACTGTGTGGGTCATAACAAGCTGTGGCTGACATTGGAAAGAATGGGAATCCCAGACCACTTGATTGTGCTCATCTGGAACCTACACTTGAACCAGGAGGCTGTTTGCGAATAAAGCAGGGGAACACTGCATGGTTTAAAATTGAGAAGGGAGTGCGTCAGGGCTGTATTCTCTCTCCATATTTATTCAGTCTGTATGTGGAGCAAATTATCCAAGAAGCTGGACTCTATGAAGAGAAATGTGGCACCAGAATTGGAGGGAGACTCATCAATAGCCTCCGTTATGCAGCCTCCTCCTCCTCCTCCTCCTCCAGTTTCTTGCCACAGCCACGTGAGTACATCAGGGCTGCACCTGTTTTTTGAAATATGTCAGTTTGTTTATCATCAAGACCTGGGGCCTTCCCCCCCAATTCCTTTGGAGTAGTGTGAACTTTATTACCATTGCTTTTTGAGCACATGCTATTTCATTAAATTGTCAGAGATGAAGTGACACAGGAATGAGCTTAAACAAAAGAGAAACTGTGAAGCTGTCAAGGACTAGGTTACATAGCAGTGCTATGAATTGGAATGGACACATCAGTCCTAATACACACAGCACTACTGCTTTTCAGTGTGCACTGCTTAATCATTTTAGGCACAATTATGACTTTGTAACTTTCTTTCATTACAGATTATGTATGGTTTAAGGAGATGTGCAAAGGTGCCATATTGACAAGGGGTGGATTTTGATGGTAAAGGTTGTGTGTCAACTTGGCTAGTCTGTGATTCTCAGTGGTTTGGCAGTACTGGTGTAGTTTTCCCCCAGGATAGGTGAATACAATCACCTTTATGATTTGTTAAAAGCATCCAGTTAGTTCAATAGTTTTTCTTCCTTTTCAGTTCAAGTGTGTAGTCTGCATCTTATATGATCCTCCAGGCTCTGTGGCCCTTTGCTCAATTTGGGTCCTGCATTTCATTTATCATGCTTACTTTAAAAGGGAAATACTGTATTTATTCTCACTATTAGGTAAGAAAAGTGGGGTTCAGAGGTCTGCACTAGGAATAATTGTTTAAGGCAAATATGTATTTCTACACACACACACACACACACACACACACACACACACTTATGTACTGTTGAGCTGGAACTAAATCCAGAGGCTGTAAATCCCATGGGTGCAGGCTGTCTCTTTCTCTTGTGCCTGAGGGTTGGCAGTGCAGCTCTGTACTCAATTCTATGTACAAATACATGTGTGTGTATATATATATACACAATATATATACACATATACACACATGTGTATATATATACATACACATCTGTATATACACATGTATGTTTGTCCAGAAAGTCCAGGGTGGCATAAGCTACCAACTTCTGAATTAACAGAAAGGTTAGCAATTTGAACCTACTAGAGTTATGCCGGAAAAGGGCTGCTGATCTTCTGAAAGGCCAGTCTTAAGAAATAGTAAGGAATAGTCCCTTTATAGTATACATGAGGTGTCAGTAATTTGTGAGATGCTTTGAGTCATAGGGATCGCTGGTATCTGTCAGGTCCTGGTGAAGGACACAGAGCCTTGCAAGTCTCCTCTCCATCTGGAAATTGGTATCCACCAGTGAAAAGACTGGACAGCTCCAGTGAAGCACTGGTGGTCCCTGCTGCCAGCCTTTAAAACCTCACATCGCATGTGGTAGCCTTCCAGGGGCTGGTCCCAGGAAGAAGAGAATACATTCTCATCCTCTACTAACACTCAAGGAAATATGCTTGCACTCATACACACGTGTGCCTGCACACGCACACATGCATCTTGGTGGCACAGGACAGAATCTATTGGGCTACTAACTGAAAGTTCAAAAGCAGCAGGTGCTCTGAAGGAGAGATGCGCAGTCTGCTCATGTGAAGGTGCAGAGGCTCAGACACACAGTGGAGGGCTGCTGAGTCTGAAACAACGTGATGGTAGTGGGCTTCATGTATGTGTAACAACAGAGAAAATAAAGTCACAAAGAGGCACCAGTGCCATTCAGAGACACGATTTAAAAGAACTGCAAACAGGAACTCAGACAGACATTTGTACATGAACACTGATAGACCTATAATTCACAACAGACAAAACTGAAAACAACACGAATGAATAAACAAAAAAGAAATATATACAACCATAAAAAGAAATAAGATTCAGATACATGCTATAACACGAATGAACCTTGAAGAACTTATGAGTAAATAAGCCAGACACCAAGACAGATACAGTATGATTCCACTCATATACAAAATCTAGAATAGTAAAAAACCAAAGTTTATTAGAAATTGCCAAAGACGAAGGGAAATGGGATAGGGACTTAGTGCTTACTGGGTACAAAATTTTTCTTTAGGATGACAAAAACTTCTTTAAATACACTGGGGAGAGCTTTGTACATCATTGTGAAGGTAATTAACATCTGTATACATCAGATGGTTTAAGTGGCAAAGTAGTGGTTACATGCTGTCACATTGTTCAAGTGAATTGTAAAAACGAAAACCAAACAACCAGTAGTC